AAAAGAGCTGTTTAAGCAAGTGCACATCGGCGCGAAATAAGGCAAAAAAGTGTTTTTTAACAAAAAATTCTGTAAAAATGCGTACTAGATGCAAAAAATTATGGAGAATTCAAAAATCGTAGTTATTTGAAATTTTGTCTGGCTCAATTTCGAGCAAAGTGCGTTTTTGTCAAATTTTCTATGTTAAGTTTTCTTTCCAAGGTTCTAAAATGAATATATCGGAACAAATCAAAAAACCCCGGCGGTTTTGGGTCAAGCTTGTGGCGATGAACATTTTAGTAAAAAAAGATAAAAATTGGATAACTCAGCGTGGAGTTATTAAGTTTTGAAAGAAAACGTTCAAAAGCTACCGTAACCTTCACATTTCCGCATTCTAAAAGACACCCTTTTCTAGAGTCGTACGCAAATTTCATAATTGTGCAACTTTTCGTTGTCGGCAACAATCGCTTTTATGTTTTCCGTTTTTCATGTTCTCCGTTTTTATGTTTATTCACTTTCTTAAGCTCCTTTTTCAGATGAGTCGCCCAAAAAAATCGAAAATTGCTGCTCAAAAGGCAAGAAAGGCTCAATTGGATAGCAAAAAGGATGTTAGAGAAGCTTTGGAAATAGCAAATCAGAATCAAGAGATATTGCGACCTCTAAGAAGCAAAAGGATGAAAATTCTCAGAAAAATGAAAAGTGATAAGAAGAAACAAAAGCTATTTTTCGCTCAACGAGCTCGACAAATCCGCGCAAAATACAAGAGGCATAAGAGGAACAAATTGCCCATTTCTTCTCCTGTTTCACCTCATCAAACGTTAGCTGTATTTTCAAAAGCAGAAATTTCTCGTTTTTCACATCGACTCTACAGCAAGTATGCTCATTTTGCAAGTGAGTATAAAATGAGACAGGTGATATCCGAAGTGAATCAAAAAGTTGAATATGTTATTTCAAACGGGATTGTTCAATTGAAGGATATAAAAGAAGCGCTTCGTTTCCGTCTTAAACGTGTGCCCAGCAAAGAGGCACAGAGAATTTTGCTGATGGCAGACAAGGGTTTTGAAACGACAAAATTGACCGTCATGTTTCCTGATAAGAGCAACAAATCTCAATCTAGATACAATCACCTAATACTAGCAGTTTGGAAAGGGAGAGACGACAACAAAAGTCTACAAAAATTTAACGAAGTCTATAGAGAGCTTGTTGATATGAAATTCACCGTCTTCATTGGAGGCGATCTGTGCTTTTTAGCTTCTCTTTATGGACTATCAAATGCAGCAACTTATCCTTGCGTTTGGTGTTTTTTCAAAGCCAAAAAACAACGCAAAATAGACGGGTGTCCAGAGAAATTGGATTGGAGTATTTATCCGGAAAGATCTATAAAAACGTTTGACGAACTACTCAAAATAGATTCAAATAATTCGGAATTGCGCAAAGGTGTTTTTCAAAAATACGTTTGGCCGACTGAACCGACGCATGTCGTTCCTCCATCACTCCATATAAAGCTCGGCATCGGAAACCGTATCTATAAAGAGTTGGAACAAGAAGCCCGACAAGCTTCACCATCTGAATGGGATGCTTTTGCATTATTAGCACAAAAATTGGGATTCACGCGATCGTTTAAATCGGAAGATCTCAATGGTCCGAAGCTGAAGAGATTATGTGAAAATCGAGAGGAATTTAAGGTTCTAGTCAACTCACAAAAATATAAGGATCTATCCGACTGCCTGGAAAAGTTTTCGACATTCTCTAATCCTATTGGCTCCACTGAGCAAAACATGAAAGACGACGATATTAAAAAAATCCTTACTTCTATTAAGCCATTGCTCGCAAAACTTGAAGAATTGGAAATTGGATCCCGCTCAACAAAGATCCATGTATTGCTAGCACATGTGCCGGAATTTCTTCAACGCCATCGTTGCTTAGGTGCAATGTCTGAAGAAGGATTAGAAGGCTTACATTCAATTTTTGAGCAAATTCGGAAAAAATCAAACGTTCGGACGAAATGGAAAACTTGTTATTTACTGCGAAAAAATGTGCCGTGAACGTTTTTCTATATGATCTTGGTTTCTTGCTTTCTTGAGTTAAATTTGTTATTATATTGTTACTATATGTTAAATTTGTTTCTACTTAGCTAAAAAATTTATTTAGCAAAACAAAATACAACTCTCCCGAGACGGTGGCAACAACAATACTCAACATAACCTTGCACATGAGTTGGAGAAGAAACGATCCTAAAAAAGTTCTATCAACAAAGCCATCCGTCCATTAATTTAATGAAAAAACCTAACTTTGTTGATGGCAGACGATGAGATAAAAAAAATACGAAGCAGAATGAAAAAGAGGCAACGAAAAGTTGCACAATTTTAAAAAGCCAGCAAATTTGCGTACGACTCTAGAAAAGGGTGTCTTTTAGAATGCGGAAATGTGAAGGTTACGGTAGTTTTTGAACGTTTTCTTTCAAAACTTAATAACTTCACGCTGAGTTATCCGATTTTTATCTTTTTTTTGCTAAAATGTTCATCGCCACAAGCTTGACCCAAAACCGCCGGGGTTTTTTGATTTGTTCCGATATATTCATTTTAGAGCCTTGGAAAGAAAACTTAACATAGAAAATTTGACAAAAACGCACTTTGCTCGAAATTGAGCCAGACAAAATTTCAAATAACTACGATTTTTGAATTCTCCATAATTTTTTTGCATCTAGTACGCATTTTTACAGAATTTTTTTTTAGAAAACGTACTTTCGCGCCGATGTGAAGTGGGATATAAAAAAACGGAAAAGCGAGAAAATTTATTCTTAATTGCATTTTAGCAAACTTTCAGATCAAGATTGGCGATGACCAGAACGAAGTTTACAGAGAGAAGATGTCATGCACTCAACATCCCCGGGCTCATTATTTCAAGAACAATGTCAGTGTTTCCATCGTTGCGATCATTTTTCAATTTCCAGGATCAACGCCGGCTTTACTGCATTGTCGACACACCGGGCGTCGGCGATTGTCAGGGAATCGAAAAGGACAAGGAGAACATGCAAAACATCGTGAACTTCATGGGAAATTTGGGCAAAATCAACTTGATTTGCTTCTTGTTGGACCCAAATGAAGCACGACTCGATCCACCTTTCGAGTTCTGCTTCAAGGTTTGAAGTAATGAATTGACTTAAATTAGATAGTTTTAGGAGCTGATTATGCAATTCCATCGTTCAGCCATCCATAACATTGCCTTTTGTTTTACAAAAGCTAGCGGTGTGGGATATAAGGTTTGTTTCAAAACAAACTGTAAATCTTTAATTGCATTATTTTTAGGTATCAGAGACAATCGTCCCGCTACAAACACTAGTCAACGAGATCAAAAAAAGACAAGGAATCGAAATTGTGCTAAACGACAAGAATCTCTTCGTTTTTGACAACATCGCCTATCGATATTTGGCTTATTTGCACAAAATGGTAATATCACGTTTGATTTAAATTACTTGTCACTAGGGAAAGGCAAGTGGTGAGCTGAGCTTTTGTCTGGACTCCTAGTGCAATTTTTAACAGGGTATGAGTATTGATATCAAGGCGTGTAAAGCTTCGATTGAAAATTTGGCGTCAAAAGGCTTTAAAAGGTTCCTTTCTAGCTGTGTAGGTTTCTAGCCAAAAGGTAAGTTGGTGGCCTCTGGATAACGCATTAGGCTTCTACCCACAGGATCAAGGTTCGGGGTACTAGTCTACTTGGGGGCCCACTTTTTTTTGCTTCAAAACTTCACTATATGGAGCTATAGCAGTTTTGTAACGTCCCAGAAGAGGAGCCTTGCTTTCGTTGTTTCCATTCAACTCCCCAAACCATCTTACGGTTGGTTTTGGCCTTTATTGTGGTCCGGCTACGAAAAGTTCTGGATTCTCCACTCGGGTCCTAAATGGAAATAGATTGCTTTCTCATTTCAACACAAAATTTATCGCGTAAAACAATACTTCCAATTAACTCACAAAATAAATGATTTGAAAACAAAAAAGAAACGACAACGCGGCACTCCCATCGACTACCTTCAAATGGCAGCGACGTCAATTGGATTGCGACGTTGCGCGAAAATTAACATTTAAAATTTGTGACAGGAATTAAAATTTAACATGAAAACGGCTCGAAAAACACATTTTTTCCTCTCTGGAGGTCATTCTCTACTTGCCTGCAAAATGCTAGAAGTTACTCCGAAAGAAAAACAAAAGGCTGCATCAGGGACCGAAGCCTGGTCATTTGGGCAGAACTCTAATGCGTCTAATGCGTTAGCCACCAACTTACCGTTTCTCCGCTAGAAATGAGCCTTTTAAAGCATCCGTTTTGACGCCGAATTTTCGAGTGAAGTTTTACACGCCTTGAAAGTCATTTGGCTGATTTTGATTTCAAATTCGAATGCCGCATACCCGATTCTATAAGGTGCACTAGGTGTCCAGACAAGAGTTCGTGCCTTTCCCTAGTTATTTAAAATTTTATGATTCATAAGATGACTACAATTGACAGAGTAGTGAATATTTAACTGACATTATTTTAGTGACATAACAATTCAAGTCAGAAATTTAGGAAGAACCCGAAAAGGATCAAACCCTTCTCGATTTGTATGCTCGGAGCTACAAAGTGTCGGCAAATGAAACGAAGAAGATGCTCGATCAAGCCCTACAAACACCGCCACATCGAGTCGAGACACCCTTCATCTCAATTACTCGAGAAGAATCATCAAGAAATTGGCACCACCACTAACAATGATTGGAACAAAAGTATTTAAACCAAAAAAAGTTAAGAAAATATTTTGTAGGTTGGTGAAACGATTAACGAGATCAAGGCTCAAGAAAAGAGAGCTCAAGAAAATCGGGGAAAGGAGAGCGAAATGTTGAAAGTGCTGAAAGTAAAGGTATGGTTAGTAAGTGAACAATTTGAAACTACAGGGTGCGGCAGAAGTATGGTTACAGACTCAGAACCGTGTATCGTAATGAAATATGAACGGATTCATGTAAATTTAACTTAAAATTAACAACAGTAATCATATTCATTTAAAAATAACAAATTATTCAATATGGGCACCTTTATTCTTGATAACGGCTTTAAGACGCTTTGGATAACTTTCCACGGCGGCCCGCAGGGTACTTTGTGGAATTTCCGCCCAGGCTTTCTTCAGAGCCTTTTTCAGACTTTCAAAGTTTGCATGTTTTGTTGTGCATGCTTTTTGCTCCAAAATTGCCCAAACACAGAAATCCATAACATTCATGTCGGGCGAATTAGCTGGCCATTCATTGGCGGGAATGAAGTCGGGCAAATTGTTTCGACACCACTCTTGAGTCTTTTTTTGCTTTGTGCGCTGGGACACCGTCTTGCATCAACGTCCAGCGCTGATTTTGATAATGTCCTTGACTCCACGGCTGTACATGTTTTGTGAGAACGTCCAGATACACGTCTGTGTTAATTTTCAGCCCTTTATCAACGAAAATCAACGGTGTGCGACCAGTTGCTGACAACCCTGCAAAAAGCATGACTCTTGCTGGATGTGAGTTCCTGTCCACAAATCGGTCACTTTTATTTGCTTCTTGAGGGCTGTGAGCAAAAATTCGATCATTTTGAGAGTTGAAAACTTGCTCAATGTTGACTAATTTCTCGTCGGTAAAAAGCATCGTCAGACGCTCATCATTTGCGGCCCTCGCAAGAAGAAGAGCACATTTTTGCTTCGTGTTTCTCATTTGAAGATCCGTCAGGCCATTATGCTTCCTTAACTTGTAAGGGTGAAGACCCAGATCCTTTTTGACGATACGACGGATAGTTCTATCAGAAACATTCAATTGGGGAGCCATTTTTCTCATGCTCCGGGCAGGATTGCGCTTGATTCGTTTCTTAATGACTTTCTTGAGTCTCGTGTGATCAATTTTTGGCGGACGTTCACTTTTAGGAAGCTCTTCGACTCTATTTTGTTGCAAAATGCGGTATACCGTCATTCGATGCATTTTCAGTAGTTTGGCAATATCCGAAGTTGATCGTCCTTGTGCTCCAAGCTGAAGAATAGCGGCACGGTTGGGAGAAGCCTTCACCATTATGTCCAAACTTAAAAATTTGCTTAAAAACTCCCACATAATATAAAAAAGCATTCGAATTAAGAGAAAATAATGCTTTGGCAAGAAATAAAAATCAATCAGTTTCTTAAATCAATGTTACAACCTTGTAACCATACTTATGCCGCACCCTGTATACTTTTCAGGTTCGATTCTATCGCTTCAAGATGACTTACGTAGATGAGATGGTTTGCAAGAATTGTACAACTTATGTAGAGTACACTGGAGTCGAGAGGGACAAGGTGATCGAAGCGGATCCGAGTCTAGCCAAAAAAAACCCGGTGGTGATGGTGCGGGGTGGGCACGCTGAAAAGGTTTGTTGTAACTATTAAGGCTAACAAGTTTATTTCTTGAGTATTTCTAAATTAAGGCCTCGTATGTTTGATAAACTGGCTTAAAGATTCCGACTCGTAGCCAAGAGTATCCCAACTTTGTACAAAATGAAAATAGAGCTGGTATCTGTTCGATAGGTATAACCGTTGTGAAAATATCTCTATTGAACCAAAACTTCAAGCTTGAAAACTTTAATATTTAGGTTGACGGTAAATGGACATGCAAAGAATGTGGACCGAATTTTCCCCAAGTGATGGTCGATCGTTCTTTTGCCAAAGTCTACGAGGATCGAGAAGAGATCGATGAATGTGTTCAGAAGCGATTGAAAGAAGCAATAAGTTGGTGATTGATTGAAAAAATCCCAACAAATCTCTCAGCTGGTAAAAAACAAAAAAAAGCTAGTGATTCAATTCAATCTCTTAAACGATAGTTGTTCATCATTGTGCATAGTAATCGAACACAAAGGTCAATAAAATGATCGAGATCGAGGATAATCAGAAACTACTAATTCAACTCAATTTTATTAATTAACAAATTTTAGATGACCGTGAACGTTGTGAAATTCTGATTGAACAAAAATCTTTGTTAAAAGAGCAGTTGGAGCAAGAGATGCGATCGATTCAAAAGGCGGCCGCTCAATTTGGTGTTTTCCTGAAAGAAAACTCGATCACCGCCTACAATGATATCACCGAACAGTATCTGTTGATTCTTATGGATCTAGAAGAGAAACAGGTTTGTAAAATCACTCATCATTTGAAATATTCTGAAACTGTGTAAAGAAGCAACGTGTGAATCAAGTAACATCACCAACAATTAGGTCACGCACTTTTAAGATAACTTGTTTAGCGTATTGTTCAGTTTAAAAGCCCGAAAAGGTTTCTAAAATAATAAACTCTACGAAGTTTTGAAATAAACAGCATGATAAGCAAACTACCTACCAATCGCTTGGTATAAAGTTTTGTCGTAAACCCCTCACTTTCAGGGGGCCCGACGAGGTGCGCGGTATAAGAGTCTCGCCAAAATGCTCGAGATTCACAAAAAAGAGGTGGCCATCCTCGAACAGCACATGAACAACCATTTGGGAATTTGAAGAAGATCACATCGGATGATGTGATCAAAACGGCGGAAGCGTTGAAAAAATTGAAGCACTATGGAAAGGATATTCATCAAGCGTTGGAAGGAGTGAAACAATGGGTTTGTTTTTTTGCACTTTTTCATTCAAATTACAACTACGAGTCTAGACTATGCATCTTACTGAATTTATATCGTGATCTAATAAAAGCTCATGTGTTTGAATATTTGTTAACACCATTTTTCCAGGTGGCGAAGGGTGGAGACGTCGAACCGCCAAGCGTCTACAATCCAAGCCGTCAAAAAAATCGTTTCCTCAACTTTCTTCCCAACTTCGTCACGAAACGTCTTTAATTTTGTGTATAAAGTGTTTTGAGATTTTTCATTTACTTGCTCAATACAAATAAATACTCGATTAGAAGTCAATTACGGTTCTTTATTATTGCTTTGATCGCATTGATTTGACAATTTATCACCTTGCTGTGTCTCTTTGTAAGTTAGCCTAAAATTTGAAAATTTGTTTTTTTTTTTGTGCAAACAACATACAAAGTCTTCTTTTTACTTAATCTATTCAATTTATGTGGAGTTTTGTGTTCATTTTTCAAATGAACCTTCTTTTCCTTCTTTCTTTCGAAGTTATGTTAAAACTTTGCTTAGTGATTGGTATTCGAAAAAATGAAAATACAAGCACTACTTAAGAACAATGTAATTTGTAAGATACAATTTCGTAACTTTTGCTAAATTTTAATTTCCGTCTCCTTGATTTTTCATTTGAAAAGTCCTTTAGTTTTATCTAAAAACAGATCGTTTTCCTCAACTTCTTCACACAATTTATCACAGGTTGGCCCGAAAGAGTCGCACAAACTTTGTCTTGAAACCAGCAGCTGCTTGTTGTTTCGATTTCCTCTCTTCATTACCCTTTGGTCTCTATAAATAATCCCAGAAAAAAAAGGTGAACAACGGAAAGCGTTGAGGGCAACGGTGACGAGCCTAGACACAACTCAGAACCCTAACTTTTCATCGCTCTACAAAATCTTTAAACAATGCGTCCACTCATTAGCATTTTCATTTCACTTCTCGTGATTGGTAAGAAAAATTTCTGAAATTTCAAAAGCTAAATAAGTTAAGAATTTCAAGTTTCAAAAATGGTTTCTGAATTTGAAATTCAAATATATTCAGGTGTCTGCATGGCCTTTATTCCGGTGACTCTTACAAACTCCGCTGAAAAGGACCCAAATGCTGCACCATTCCCTCTCTGCAACCCCTTTTGTCCAGTTAGTTTTGTTAAATTTTTCATTGAAGTAATTACTTTTGATCCTCATTTTCAGGGTGGTGCCGTGTACGTGTGTTGCGTCAGATATCTTCATGTGCTCGGCGTTACTGCAATGGATCGGCGGCTTGGTGTTACTGAAATCTTTGTCGAATTCCATGCCATTCGTTTGTATTAGGTGCAAATTAGAAAAATTAGTATAGTTTTTGAAATTATAATTGCATAAACATTCTGAAAAAATGAATTCTAGGCACGACTTGAGGGGACAACAAAAACCTATTGAAATCAACACAAATCAATTGTTATTTTGTAAACATAGGTGTTAATAAAGCTTTGAATATCTCTTTATATTGTTACCATAGGAAAACGCTCACTAACGTTCGGGTTTTCCACTAAGGAGGTTCACGTTTTCCACACAATCTAAGCCCCGCCCCTTTTTGCCAATGACAGATAGACGGACGTCGCTTCTGTTTTATATGTTGTGTCCGATTTAGATTTCCGTCCGATTTAGATTCAATCTAAATCGGACGTCTTATATAGATTGAACAATAATATAAACATGTTTAATATACGTTCTTAAGCGTTTTCTGTAGTTTTCTGCATTTTCAAAGGTCTGTTACTGTCTTTTCCTGAAAAGAAAACCCAACTATGAAACAATTTATTAGCGTTAACAGAACAGATGCAAAATTACAACATACAACAACGAACGAGTTAAAAATTTCTATTTATTTTTGCAGCTTAGGCTATTGTGGCATCTTGAATTGCAGAGTCGGCCATCCTTTTTGCACGAACATCGATTGGATGAGCATTTTCCAGCACATAAGCAATGTTTATGGCCTAATGGAACACGCAAAAATAAAATAAAGTTATAGTTACTTGCCTTCTTTCCCGTGAATAGAAGAATCACCGATGGCGGCACGAAAGGAAGTTGAACGTTCCGGCACATCAGCAATAACAAGGAAGTCCGTCTCACAAGGATAGAGTTGATTTCTTGAAAACTTCTAGAGGTAGAGTCCCATTCGCCGTCCTAATCGTGTAAAGCCCATCGATTGCTTTAAAAAAATGGCTTAAGTGAATTTAATCGAAACAAACCTTCAGTGACAACGCCCAAAAGATTTCGGTGGCCAATTTTTGGTCGATCAACCGGATTAATTGGAATTCTTACGTTCTTTCCAACATCCAAAGGCTGAAATCTAATTGTGCACATTAGGTGAAACCGAAAAACGATCATAAAAGAACCTCTCTTTAGACGCTTGTAACATCTTGTCGGCTTGTTTTATTAGACTTGAACGGGCACTATCTCTTTTTGCAAGTATTTCAGCATCTTGTGCTGCAAAATTGAATCCTTTACCTATTTTTATAGCGTTAAAAATAAAAAATAAAACTAACCTGAATCATTGCTATTTTCATCTTTGTCGCCAATTTCCGCACTTTTTTTGTAGACTTGCTCCTAAATTTTTAAAATATAGATTAAAATAAACAATAAATAAAACAAACCAAATTTTCGGACGCAAATTCCGGTTGATTCAATTCGTCCCCATTTTTGTTTTTAATCCCATTTGAATCATCACTAAGCAAAATAGTTTGGAATCTATTATGTAAATAATTTCAAACATACCTTACTTCTCGTTCATCATCATAGTCTTTACCAAACATTGCGGCAAATGGAGTTCTTCTGATTCCATGGTGATATCTTCTATTCTTTATGAGTTGAATCATCGGAAGAAATTCAGCCCATTTTGCAGTTTGCCGATCACGTTGATACGTACACAGTATGTTCTAAAACAAAATTAACAAATTATGTTTGCCTATGTAATAGAAATGAAATAAACTCGCTCCTTTTAACTTACTTCAATATCAGCGTTTGCTCTTTCGACGCTACCTTGTGATTGTGAGTGCCGAGGTTTTCCATAAACAATCCTGCAGTGTGGCCACATACCAACCAAATCGTCGATACATTTGTTGACAAACTCTCGGCCGTTGTCTGAGACTTTACCAATTAGCACATTCGCGACGAGATTTTTTGATTTTTGTATAAGTTATTTCCCTTCTAGCTCGTTAAAAAACGTTCACATTTTTCTTCATTTGACCCCTAACTTAAATAAATCGGTTGTCTGTGAACGTTTTTAGACAAGCTGGAAGGAAAATAACTTACGCAAAAATCAAAAAACTCAACGTGAATACGCTAACAAAAAAGGAAAAAAACCTGAATGCAATATCTTCGGTGGTCCGAAGATTCCAAATAGCATCCCAAGGTTCTTTACAACTTCTTTTGCGGTTTTTGTCTTCAAAGGGCGCAGCGTCACGAATTTGGTTAAATGGTCCCAAAATTTATATTTTATTACAATAAATAACAGAAAAAAACCTGGTATACTCGAATGAACTTGAAATCACCATCCGGTGTTGATTGGAGATCGATAAGATCCACTTGACAACGCTCGTTTTGTTTTTGCGTTAAGATTGGCCTCGCAACGACCGTTTTTTAAAATTTCCTCTTTTCAATTCGCATTCTTCACACAATTTGACGTAGAGACTGATGATTTCTCTAAAAATGTAGTTTGAGCCAGTAAGCAGCAAATAAAATAATAAAGTCAAAAACCCACTTTGAAATACCATAATATCATCGGAGATTTTGCCACATCAAGTTTATTCCAGCGTGTCTAAGTTTTTTGTGTGTTTCGTGTAAGAGCCGAAAGACCGCTTCTCGCTTAATCACTCGTTGTTGTGCTGGCATCTCTCCGCTGCCATTTTTCTCGCCCACATGATAAAGCTGCGCTCCCTTTTGTTCAATCACGAGCGCAAATCTTTTCAGCAAGTTGTTTTCGTGGTAGTTTTGTGGTAGTTTTGGTTTCTCGGAGTTTTCACGATGATTGTGGAGCGTTTCAACCATCAAATTGTAGGTTTCAGCGGTTGGAAAGTTTTCTTTTCCTCTTTTCTTCTTTTGTAAAAACACGTCAAATTCTTGGTCAAAAAGGTCCTCCATCTGTAAAAAAAAGCAGCATTTAATAGGAAAACAAGAAAACAAAAAATTCTCAAAAAAAAGACAATAAAATTTCTTTGAAAAGCGCAGAAAATTGCAAAAAAACGCTTAAGAACATATATTAAGCACGTTTATTATTGTTCGATCTGTATCGGATGTCCGATATAGACTGTAATTAATAAAACACCTTTGAAAATGCAGAAAACTACAGAAAACGCTTAAGAACATGTATTAAACATGTTTATATTATTGTTCAATCTATATAAGACGTCCGATTTAGATTGAATCTAAATCGGACGAAAATCTAAATCGGACACAACATATATATGTCGTAGCCGATTATAAATGATTCATAATCGGCTCAAATTCATAATCGGCTACGACATATATACCGTATTCTCTCTAATAGTAGTGCGCACTGCTATTTTTTCAACCCCCTCCTGGACCGCAATACTATTAGAGAG